CGGGATGTTGTTTTCCTTGTCGCTCAGGGTTAGCGCCGTATAGGCGTGGTCGAATGGGATGTAGTCCGCCGTTATGTCGTTCCAGCACTTGTTGACGCCGCTTGCGGCACAGTCTGCCACTTCGTCGCCCGGGGGTTGCTTATCGTTGTTTGCGGCCTCTCTGGCGGCCCTGGCCTCTGCCGCGCGCATCTCACAGTGCGTGTCCTCCAGCTCGGCTAATATCAGAGCCACTTGCCTCTCGCTTTGTGTAGTGGCGTTGACATCAATTTCCGCCATCCTGGCACTTGGCGGCTGCCTCGTTTCCAACGCCTGCCTCCCCGGTTCTTCTGCAGTGGTGTGGCCGCAGGTCTCTACCTGCCCTCGGCTTTGTGTTTGAGCGGACTGTTCCCCTCCCTGTGTTTCGGCCGCCAGCATACTGTCCATTTCCGCCGCCTCCTTGTCCTGTGTTTTGACTGCCTCCTCCTGGCTCTGCGGTTCTGGACCTTGATTTGGCGGTTCCTGTGCCGCCCTGCTCGGTAGTGCCGCATTCTGCTTTACCATATCCTCCGCCTGGTGCTCCTGCGTCTGGCCCTGAGCATTCACCACCTGCATCTCATCCTGCACTACGTAAGACACCGGCGCGCCGCCGGCAGATTTCTTGGTGTACTTTCTCTTCTTCGTTTTCTTCTTGCGCTGGATAAACAGAGGCGTGGGCACCGCGTCCGTCCGCAGGTAAGGGCAGGCCGCCCCGGGGCGGATCATGTAGTCCTTCTCTGTGAAGTGGTCGCTGCAGACTTTGCTGTGAACAGACGGCTTCCAGTCATCGCGCTGCACAACTTCGATCCATTTGGCAAGGCGCTCCGGGTCCTTCAAGGGGAACCTGCGGAGGGATGAGGAATAAAAGTCAAACGTAGAACAAAACATTATTACCCGGGATAGGCAACCGCGGCACTCCAGCTGTGGGGGAACTAGAAATGTCATCATACCTCTGCCTCTGGGAGTCATGCCTGTGGGGGTCAGAGTCTCGCACTCTTCATTGGACTTGTAGTTCCACCACAGCTGGAGTGCCGAGGTTGCCTAACCCTGATCTATACAATTACTGAATGTAGGAACATTTGCTGGGAGAGACAGAACAAGACGATTACCTGAAGAAATGCTTCCCGCAGCCTTTGTGCATGCGGTTCTTGCACCCGAACATGGCGCAGACGGTCATTTTACCTCTGTGGCTTCTTCAGGTCCACTAGAAGAGAGAAAAAAAAAGACATTTCTATCAATGTTAATCTATGCATGCTGCTTTCTCTCCTTGTGTAGGGTGACCGGTCTTGTCTCCGCCCCCTCCTGTAATAAAGACCGGTCACTGCTGCTCTCTCTCCTTGTGCAGGGTGACTGGTCTTGTCTCCGCCCCCTCCTGTAATAAAGACCAGTCACTGCTGCTCTCTCTCTCCTTCTGCAGGGTGACTGGTCTTGTCTCCGCCCCCTCCTGTAATAAAGACCGCCCACTGCTGCTCTCTCTCCTTGTGCAGGGTGACTGGTCTTGTCTCCGCCCCCTCCTGTAATAAAGAGCAGTCACTGCTGCTCTCTCTTCTTGTGCAGGGTGATTTGTCTCCGCCTCTTCCTGTAGTTGCCTGTAGTGGAGCTGCACATCCAGCCTGCCAGGCCATTTCGTATTGTATCGTTACTGAGCGCCGATGCTTTAAATTTTTAAGCTGAAACCAGCGCTGTAAACAGGCACCGGGCTTCACAGGAAGGCTGCCTTGGTCCTCAGCAAGACCCTGGGGGCCTCCCTGTGAATCACGGCACCGGCTTACAGCAAATCTCGTCCTTCCTGCCACCCACCGAGACCCCTCACAGCCCAGCATAGACCCTGCACACCCACCCGAAAGTCTGCACAGCCCCCCACAGACCTCGCACAGCCACCTGAGAGTCCGCACAGCCCACCATAGAACCCGCACAGCCCACCATAGAACCCGCACAGCCACCTGAGAGTCCGCACAGACCACCAGAGACCCCGCACCGCCCACCATAAAACCTGCACAGCCACCTGAGAGTCCGCATAGCCCACCATAGAACCCTCACAGCCCACCTGAGAGTCTGCACAGCCCACCAGAGAACCTGCACAGCCCACCATAGACAACAGCCCACCATAGAACCCACACAGCCACCCGAGAGTCCACACAGCCCACCATAGAACCCACACAGCCCACCATAGAACCCACACAGCCACCTGAGAGTCTGCACAGCCCACTACTTTCAGAGCTGGTTAGGTTATTACTAAGACCAGTAATAATGGAATGCAGAGGCAATTATTTAATATGATAAAGAGTAAATACATTTAGATTATCTCACAGAGACAACCGGCCCTTTAAGGCAACCATAACGATGATGAGAGGCAGACTTGTACAGGTCCACCTCTGATCGTCCAGCCTCGGGACTCGGCTCTATAGAAGTCTATGGGGCTGTAATACCCAGGTGTGGCCAGGAGAGGGAGACTCTGGATGTAAACAAACAGCGGTGGATGAAGGTAACTACAACCCCAATGCCCAAAAAATCGGGGCGCTGTGTAAAATCTACCTAAAATCAGAACGTAATGATCTGCAAATCTCATAAACCCGAATTGTATTCACAATAGAAAACATATCAAATGTTTAAACTGAGGAAATGGACCATTTATAAAAAATGAGGTAACTTTGAAATCGATGCAGCAACATGTCTCAAAAAAGTTGGGACAGGGCCACGTGTACCCCAATGTAGCCTCCCCTCCTCTGTACACGTCTGGGAACCGAGGAGACCTGTTGCTGGAGTTTTGGGGGAGGAATGTTGTCCCGTTCTGGTCCGATATCGGATTATAACTGCTCAGCGGTCCCGGGTCTTCTTTGTCGCATTTTTTGTTTCAAGATTCCCCAAATATTTTCAGTGGGTGAAAAGTCTGAACTGCCGGAGGGCCAGATAAGCCCCCTGGACTCTGCTACGGAGCTGTTGTCATGGATACAGTACACAGTGTAGCATTGTCCTGCTGACATATGTGAGGCCTTCCCCGAAAAAGACGTCTGGATGGGAGCGTACGCTGCTCTACAGCCCGGATATGTCCGTCAGCATTGATGGCGCCTTTCCAGATGTGCAAGCTGCCCATTCCATACCCACTAATGCCCCCCACCCCACCATACCATCAGAGGTGGTCATTCCATACACACTAATGCCCCCCCATACCATCAGAGGTGCCCATTCCATAAGTGACAGAACATTGTACATGAGGTTCGGCCCAGAGAAGACGGCGGCGGTTCTGGATCATGTTCTGATAGGCTTCTCCTTGGCATCGCGGAGCTTTAACTTGTGTTATTGGAATGCGCGGCGAGCTGTGTCCACAGACGGTGATTTTTGGAAGTATTGCTGAGCCCGCGCAGTGCCGTCTGAGGGCCCGAAGATCACCGGCATCCAATATTGTGAATACAATTCGGGTTTATGAGATTTGCAGATCATTGTGTTCTGTTATTATGTAGATTTTACACAGCACCCCATCTTTTTGG